AGCTATGGCACAGAATATGGCCAAGGCTACGAGAATGGTTTCGACAATAATGGTGTGAATTGCGGACTAACCGCTAAAGAGTAAGGTAACCCTTCGTACTGCTTATCTTGGTGCAAAAAAAAATTACAGATTATGCATGTTTTTTATACCGAGGACTTAGTTGTTACGCTGCAAATGTCTGTTTGGTGTAACACGATTATAGTTTCTGGGATAGCGCTTTGTACGACCATTTTAATGGGAGAGTGTTCGTCGGGAAACAATAAAGTTGATTCCAGTAATGAAGTGAGTACCTGCTTTAAAGAAATTACGATAGGTATGAAAGATGTTTTTGGAGATGCCGTCACAAGATGCAACTATGTATATTTTATTGAGGCCACATATTGTCTGCCGTGCCGAGTATGCTTCTTATTCGAGTATGAGTATATCTATTCCAAGGAGCGTTCTTTCATCATTACGTAACCTGTTTCACCTATATAAAGACAGACAGTACGCAGGTATAAGACTCCTATATGCTATATGACTGCGTCACCGTGCTGTATATATAGGAACCTCCGAAATATAGACCGCAAATAATTCTCCAAGAAAGATCCGAAGTTTTCTAGATTGCTGAAACACTTTCAGCTGGCTGTTACTCAATGCTTGACTTTGAAAATTCAGAAAAAAAGGAGAAAACTACACGCTAGTCAAAAGTACGCGTCGGTATTTTTGTTACCGCTGCTATTAGCTTTCTTTTTTTTTTCATATGCCACCTATAAAACTTAAGCATTTCATTACTTTGTATTTAGCTTGACCAGTAAATGCAGTGTATACTACTTACTCGATGACTTGATGCTGATTTCTACATAATAATAAGCCGCCGTATTATCGAAGCAATGACTTATGCTTAGAATATATTGAACCGCCTTCCATTATGCACTATAGGTACATGTTCGCAAAGCCACAAGGCGTCGTGAGTTGCAGAGTCAGAATTGTGGAAGCTTCCTGTAATAAATCTCTTTACGCAAATTTTTTAAAACACACACATTAGAAATTAAGAACAATCTCCATTAATCCTGGTACTTAATTTTTTATAGACATGAACACTAACTGAGGTGAATGATGAATATAAATACCTCGAGTGAAGCTTCTAACACATATGTTCTATTTGCTTCTGATATCTCTGAAATCAGTGTCTGGATTGTTATCGATGAGAGACGAATGAGGAGAAGAGGAGGAGAGGAAGAAAGTTTAAGCGGAAAGACAGGGAGGTTAGCCAGTTCTTAGACCGGCTGGCTACCTTGTGCTGGGGAAAGGGGTGAGGGGAATGATAGTTGTTAAAAAGAAATGTTAAAAAGAGATGTTAAAAAGAAAAAAAAAAAGAGACGAATGAAATTACTGAAAAGCCTTGCGGGACCTGGTAGTAACAAGCGTGCCCTCATTTGTAGCCTCCATAGGTACACAGTGGCAGGCGAGTATACACTTGATATACCAGTTTAAACGCCTGAGGCAGCACAGGAAATACTACACTATGCAGCTTGTTACATAAGTATTCGAAGTGGTCTTGAAATCCCACATTTCACACCTTCGTACTACTGCGCGCTTATTGTTTGGGTTGTAACGCTACTTATTAACTGCGGTTTTTTTTTTTTTTGCTGAATAAGTAGGACGCCTTTCGCAATCGCACGTTGCAGGGCTATTTGTTTGGAGTTCATCATTTATATGGGTATAGCCAACCACTCAAGTTAGTTTTAAGCCCGTATAAATGATGAAGGACGGCTTGGAATGCTCTGTCACCTTAATGAGTTATTACCAAACAATGTTTGACAGTGAAGTGATGATGTATAGAACTTTCGTTTAAGTTTATATGTGTGGGTCACCCTTTTTATGCTTATGTTATCTTGACATATTTTCTCAAGAGGTGTTATTTTATTTGAGGATACACTGATACGATACCATTACGGAAAGACTTTTCAGAACATCTGACTGTGTGTCGAGTGGTGAACTCTAATAAAAGGAGTTCGCTAACCAGTGATGCCTTTTGTGTTCGTGGGAGCATTATAGTTTCAACGATGGGCAATCTCAAAGAGACAAAGCTTCGACACAGAAAGGAAGCTGACAGGCGAAGCTGTTGCTGCAGTAGAGGCTGCGGACCGTACAGCAGAGCTTCGTTAAGTATAAGAATAGTACGGCAGATCAAAACTAAACAATGCTTTTCAGCAAACGTGTGCTTTACAGTTAAATTCGAGTTGGTTGGATTGTTTTCTGGCGTCTTATTCACGGATTAAGTCACAGCCTATCAGCTACTCCAAAGATGAAAGCCAGAAAATCCTGTGACAGCGGCTGTACGTTGTGAGGCGGCAGCATCACAACCTTTTTCGGCATCAAATCGAATACACCTGGTACCATGACAATACTTGTGAATTAATACGTGATCACGTGAGCACTTCGTGCATTGGTATATGCATGAGTGTGTGCCTAGTAAAGCCTAGACAAGCCGAGTGCCCGTCAATTGTGCCGTGCCCTCGCCTTGGGCAACTGAGCGCAATGGGAGGAACTTTTTTATTCAGTTCATTCGCACCCGAACACTCCCTGTATTCAAACTGGTTTCGCTCTGCCTCCAGGATTGGAGGCATCGGAGGAGGAGGAGGAGGAGGAGGAAAGTTTAAGCGGAAAGACAGGGAGGTTAGCCAGTTCTTAGACCGGCTGGCTACCCTATGCTGGGGAAAGGGGTGAGGGGAATGAAAGATGTTAAAAAGAAATGTTGCGAAGAGAGGGAGAAATTACAAAAAAAAAAATTGCGATAGAGGAAAGGCAACATCAATGAGTATAAGACACTAAAGTCTGTCTCTGAGGCCAGTTGTCCGCAAAAAGCGCAGCAAAGCATCGGAAAATTTGTGTACCTCACCTGGACCTTCTGTGCATGCGGGACCGACCCACCTTGGCCTTCCGCGACAACGTCATGTGATGACGTCATCATGTGACGTCAAAGGGTGGCGTTAAGAGAATGTCCGAAATTCTGGTGGCTTGTTAGGTCATGATGACGTGATGGGCTGACGCATTCCCATGACGATGCTTGCGTCACTCGTGCTGATGCTTATGGTAACATTTCACGTTTCGTAAGGATCTGTAGCCGGAAAACATAATTAAAGCTGGTGCTCTGATGCCTACGCTTGTTTCTCCGTCGTGTGAAAGGCTTACACAGAAAGTGTAGTGCGCATACTCTGAAAACGCAGTAAGTCACGCGCATAGTTCTTCCGTCTGAGAAAGCGGATCTTGAGAGAGTTGCATAATTCCGTGACGTGTCCGAGTGAATCGTGCAAATAATAACGGTTGCAAGTGTTTTGAAATATTAGATGTCATGCGATATTTTTAGAGTAATCAATAAAAACCTAAAGCAGCGTGAACCACAGATGTAAATATCTAAAATCCATTTATTAAATTTGACATTCGCTTGGTTCGTTCCCAAAATTTCTGTGGCTTCCGGCGTGGTTTTCCAAAAGTTATAGCCGCCTCAAAAGCAGCCCACTGAATCTGCCTGGCTTCAAAATTGCATGCGTATTTACGCACGATCGCCAGAAGTGCGCCTTCATTGAGTTAAGAGACAACATTGCAAAGCAGATTCATTTTATTGACTCACTCTCCACGGGATATAGAGCTAAGTTCTGAAAAGGATCTTGTCCCATAAAGCTCGCAATTATCCGCCACCTCTGGAAAATATTGTCTTCTAAAGCGTTGATTGTCTCACGTAAAAGCTTCCTGATGACTAGCACAAAACGAAATTAAAAACGCCTCCTTTCTCCGAACACTAGCTTGATGAAAGAGCGTTGAAATCGCTGACCATCCTTTGATGTTCAAGAGCACCATAAGGAGCCGTGCTTGTTCTGAAACAAACAAAAGAGATGATTAAGCGAGGGTACAGGTTTAGCATGATTATGAGTGTAAAATACGTAAACTGGGATTAACAAATTATTGCTTAATATTTTGTATCACCCATCAACGTATAACTACACTGCAACAAATCGTTTTCTACGTGGACACCAAGACAGGGAAAATTCTTTTTGTTATGTATACTCGTTATTCATTGTGTCCAAAACCACATTTGAAGTAATTGATTCCGTGGTTAATAACCCCTTCAAAGCTGGCATTGTTATTTGTCGCCTTAAATTGTTCTACTGGCCATGTTTGTGCGATTGGTTAAAAAGTAAATTATCACGTCAAGTGACGTGATGCCCTGAATATATGCGTTAGGGGTATGTTATGTGATACTAGATTGGTAATATTTATGAATTTTAGGTGCCCTTATTATTATATTACAATATATTTGTTTGCTAAGGGAGAAAGAATAGCCGATGGCACCATAATGGCACCAACCTATCATTTCATCATTTCAATAAAAATATAAAAAGCTATATACCTCTCAACAGCCAATGCGAGAGATATGTGAGGTTGTCTTCGATTTCTGAGAAAGATATGTAAGTGACGTTTTTTACTTTCAACGCTGCACATATGAACTTCATCCAGGCTGAAACAATTTCCTACGCTGCATACTCAAGAAATAACTGCAAGGTAGCCAGGCATTCAAAAGCATAGCTAATATGCCTAGGTGTCGCTATTTTCGTTTTCCTCAAAATGCACTGAACGTGACCCTGCGCACTGTGACTACAGTAAATATAAACATAAGAATAAAAAACCTAATGAGCTCTTTTTTCTGCAAGTGACTGTTGGATAAATAAATTCTCACTTTAGACTTCGTAATAATATCTGCAATAAACTCAAGTGTGCCCTTTTAAATATTTTAAAAGGCAGGCTGTCCCGTTTTCTAAAGAGTCGACACGCTTGCTTACCTATATTTGAAAGAAATCAGGCAAACAAAAGAACACGACATTTTGAAATAATCGATGATGTTCTACGACAGAGCGTATATAAGATATACACAGTGTAATTCGATAAGCAAACAACGTGTAATCCACGAGTGTCTTGAAAAAATACTTTATTATATCATAGTGATAGAGAAACTGAACTCACCAGTAGGCACCGGAACCGTTATTTAAGCCGAGTTTTTGAATACCAGCGCTGAATCCTTGGGCATATCCAGCCCGGAAGCCAAAACCAGGGTTGAAAGCAGGTCCCCCGCTGCCGAAGCTGCTGAAGGCGTTGCCAGAACCTGACTTAAATCCTGCGAAGCCTGCACCAAGTCCAAGGCCGGCACCGGCTGCCTTGAGACTCTGTCCTCCAAAGCCGATACTGCCGAAACCGTTGCCAGTACCGAAGTTCACAGCAGGTCCTCCAAAGCCGAAACTACTACCACCATTCCCAGCGCCGGCCTTGAAACCAGCTGCCCCGTTGCCGAGGTTGCCAGCGCCGAACTCGAAACCCGCTCCTCCATAGCCGAAGCTACCGTAGCCGAAGCGGCCACCTGCGTTAAAGCCAGAATTTCCGAAGCCACCACTGAGCCCATTGCCAGCGCCAACTGCCTTGAAACCGGATCCACCGAAGTTGCCACCGCCAAACCCGGCACCGGGCTTGAAAGCAGCCGCCCCGTTGCCAAGGCTGCCACCATCGAAGTTGAAACCGGGCCCACCGATGCCGAAACTGCCACTGCCAAACTTGGCACCAGGATTGAACCCTAAGTTGGGATAGCCATAAGCTGTACCCGAAATCAAGATGAAGAGGGCAGTGGCGAGCTGTGGAAAAGTTGAGAAGAAATGGAAAGACATGTTAAAAAGCGAGAACTGAACAAGGGAACATAACCGGTTAGCGAAGTTCACTAAAGGTAGACATGTGGGACATGGCCCATCTGTACGGTTTCTCATTGTTTTCTTCTTACTCTTTCTCAAGTATGGTGCCAAATAGAATCTAAGGAAAATGCAAAATACAAGTCGAATGTGATGCTTTGTAGTGCTTGAGCTATACGCCCCAAATAACTGCATAAAAGGGGATGATAAGAGAAACCGAATATTGCGGTTGTCTACGAGTTGCCAGATCAAGATTACGTGAAGTGTACAAGTAGGCGCATGAAAGAGTCTTGACTCAGACAACGATTCTTTAAATAAACACCATTTCCTTCAGAAACACGTTGTACTGTGAAGATGCGCGTCAAATTCTGTCAGTTGAGCACCTGGGCCCAAGAGCTAGCATGCCTCATGCATAAATGCACGTTTAGGTTAGTTTTATCACAAAAAAAACTTTTGGTAGTTTTGGTGACACCTATTTCTGCCCATTCGTATATCCAAAAGAGTCATATACTGTTCTAAAATGAACCCACGTGCTTCTTTAGGGATAAAAGGGTACTGTCAAGTACAAGGTCTCCACAGGTAGTTTAGACACACTATGCAAGTGTCAGGCTTATCACTTGTTGCTTCAAATACAGCAGTGGTTCAGTATGGAATAGTGCGCGGGTGACCATGCCGAAGAAGAATCCCGATGCATCAAAACACAGATACAGCTTTTCTCTAAGTTCCGTAGATACTCACGATTGCTATCATGATGTTACCCTGTTCACCGTCTCTGCTTCACTGTGACTAGAGAAGTTTGTGACCAAGACACCGATGACTGGCTCCTTATATACCTCCTAGTTAACCTAAGACAGGCAAGGAGGAGTGAACAAGACGCACTAGTAAAGCAACTGCCCTTTTACGTTACATGCTGACCATATCTGTAGCAAACGCCGAAACCGAGCGGCCGATCAGTGCTGAAGAAAATGAAGAAGAAAAAAAATTACTATAGTCAGTGATCAGTTCTTACGTGTACATTCGGGAAATCCTAACGGGGGGCGGGGGGGTTATAAGTTACTGAGCGCATGTCAGTTGTAACAAAGGCACACAATATGTCCTGACCTCTTTCTTTTTATCAATGTGCTACATGGGCAAGCAATCCGAGAGACCTTCCTATGCACATCTTTAATCAGGGGTGTGTCAATATATTCACTCCTATGCGTAATAGTGCTGCTGTTTCATTTATGGAAAACATGCAAATTTTCTACTAATGAAACGAAGGAGTTACCAAATGAGCACTTCTTAACGTCTTTGGAACGACGAGCTGGTTGGGAACGCCCTTTGTATTCCGTTCGCTCCTGCACTAGCGGCCTCTTATGGGGGAATAGTAACACTTCCTCTGTGGCGACTGTTAGTCTAATTATGAGCCCTTGCCAATCTTGGAAACTGCCTGGACTGTTGCTTGTGCATGTGGGTGTGCCTGTTGTTCTACTAGCAAGCTACCTCACAAAAGATCAGGAAGTGTTCCAACAATGTTGAACATCGCTGTAGCGCCGTTATCATGATTTTAACTCAACCATTCAGTTTCGCATTCAGGACTTTTATTTGCCCAGGCGGCAAGGCCTTTTATATTACTCATTGAAGAAAGGCTTTAAAAAAAGCAGAGATTGATTTCCTCTGTGTAGTGATATTTGTTACAGCTGTAAGGCAAAGTTGGAATGGCCTACATTAAAAACGCCATGATTAAACTATGGTACAATACGCCTAATGCTTCACAAGGGAATTTGCGAGCACCACTGGCACGTTAACAAGCACGAGCGATTGCACAGCCATTTGTCCTACTGGAACTCGGCTTGCGAACAGCTAAAATCTGACAACATTGGTGGAGGCATGATTTCGACTGCACTTCTCTCACTCCCACGAGATAACGTCAGAGCGAGAGGTAATGATTTGAAATAAAGGATGTCGCGACAGTCTCGTCCCCGTAGCTGCGTTAAGAAATGAGAATTTGCTGCCTCCTTTATTACATTCATAAGGTCTTTGCATATTGGAGATAAATGAACAAGAGTGATCTGGCTCAAGAGAATAGATATTTTGCCACGCCTTTCGAAAAATGCCCAGGGACGTGCTACGGTATATTTTACCAATGCAGGATCTAGTTTAAAAAAGAAAAAAGTTACCATAGAAATATGTTAACGTGGTGCAGTTGTCACATGTTCAGCAACTAATAATCTACTTTTCTGCACAGCAGCGCTAACATGGCAAAGGCGTTCCCTATAGGCGTCGCAGGTCTGTGAACAGAAATGGGTGATTGCGTCACTTCTAAAATTAGTTCAATCCTCCTTGCAAACCCCGGGCTGGCTTTCAGATATATAAGGATCCACGCAAACGTCAGTCGGTCGCAAATCCTCTGGTTAGGGAGATCGTTGACGCAAAGACGGTTACCGGAGAAACACCATGAAGGCAATCGTGAGTATGCGCAGCACTATGAGAAAAGCTGCATTTCGGTGTGATGCATGTGGACAGTTCTTTAAGGTGTTCGTGGTTTGTTAGAGCGCCATTGCTGTCATTAACGTAGCGAGTTTTTGTAGGTGGAATAGCGTGTGGGCACTACTTATTGCAGCCAAAGATGGGGACACTCTTCAACATCAGATATTTGTGAGCTACTTCTTAACAAGCGTACGTATACAGGAACTATGAAGTTGGTTTCATGGACAAATTATTCGATTTTGGGCAAGACCGATTTGTGCGAAATGGTTTTAATTTGAACTAATCAACCTTTTGGGTGACATCTCTATAGCCTGGCAGCTCTTTTTTGTAGTGTGATATGAAGTAAATGGACACTATCGGTGGATTTTTCACTGTCGCTGTGACGTCGGCTATATGTATGCGTATATATATAAAAGGCACAAAAAATCAGTTCTAGCAAAACAAAAAAAAAAAAATCCGAAACACGTGGCAGTGAAATCAAACTAGTGAACTCTCGCAGAGCAACATGCCGCTTTCGACCACTCTTGCGTGCGTCATTCCTGCACCGCTATAAAACGATGAGTTACTTATACCCACTACTTACCGCTGGCGGTACGCTGAGTTCGTAAGGAAGATCAGCTTGTTCCCTATTATGCCGTGCTTCCACATTTTGTTTCAATTGCAAATCTGACTTTGAGAAATTCACAAAAATGTGGCCTTCTTCTGTACCCACTCGTGATGTGGAAAAAAGAAAAAAGGAACGCTGGCCAACCTTGCGTCAGATGCAGAAATGTCACTCACCCCCTCCCTCTTCCCGCAGTTTAAAAGAAAACCAAATATCCAAAAGTGCCAGGTTCAGCATAGTCGACACTTGCAGCGCGCTGCTCAAACACAAAGTCGAAACAACCGTGACAGTTCGCGCTTGTCCTGTGTATACGAGCGCTTTCTTTTCGAGCGTCCTCCTTTGTGCTTCAGCAGCGGGCTGCAAGTGCCCGGCTGCTTGCCGTTCTCCTGATGACAATACACTTTCTTGCCATCACATTTATTGCTTCACCATTGTGGTGAGTGTGAACATATTTTTTCAATTCTTTCAATTCTTTCAATTTCATATCAATTCAATTTATCATGAATACTTTGTGGTGCAAAGAAACAAGGCGCATAAAGAGCACAAGAAAAACAAGGGCTTCTTCTTGTCCTGTTCTTTCTGTGTCTCGTTTGTTTGCCCTGATGAATTCTCGTAATCAGTCTTATTTACACAGTTATCCACTGACGACATACAGGTGTTAGCAAAATATGTCGGTATATTAAAGATTTTTTTCCCCGAGTTTTAGTCTTACATCTCTATATTTCACCAGGATGTTGAGAGGATAACCTGAAGATGACATAGCATGCAGCTCGTATTCTTAATCACTTTGCTTATGCACAAGGCATTGATATCCGAGAATAATCACACTGGAAGTGGCAAGAGTACGTACTCATAACTGCGCTCCATGTGGCTACTTCTATAAACCTTCTACCCACTCTTCCGCAGCTCTTCGCCGCTCTTCTCGCCCTGGTCTTGGCTACTGGTTACGGCTACCCGAATCTAGGCTTCAAGCCCGGCAGTTTCGGATTCGGAGGACCTGCCTTCAGTTTAGCTGCTCGCAACTTCGGATTCGGTGTGGCCCCAGGTTTCGGCAATTTTGGCTATGGAGTACCTGGCTTCAATTTCGGCTCTGGATACCGTGGCTTCGGCTTCGGCGGACAAGCCATCAAGCCCAGTTTTGGCTTCGGGAGTGGATTTGGCCAGAGGTTCGCCAGTGGCTTTGGAAAACTCGGCGCCAATTTTGGCTATGGGCCCTACTAGTGAATGGAGATTCCACACTGCTAATATTTGCACGAGATTAATGAAATAAAAAAATTTCCAGCATTCTGTATCCACAAGTGATTCATCTTATGTTAAAGTCTTATATACCAACTCCGGTATATTGCCATTTTTTGCTATAGATATCATAATAGGACGATGAAACTTGTTCTTCGATGCCACGTGTCGCTAACAACGGTTTCAAATGGGTTTTGAATTTTGATACACAAAACTGCCGACACCCAGGGAGCTAATAATGCTTGCTTTAGAGGACATTAAGATTATCATACATTTATTAAAACGATTGTTGTGAGCCGTTATACGTAATAACTTAACCACATATCTGTGAATGGTCTCAAGCAAGCACGCTAGCAAGCAAAAGCTGAACCTGTCGTTTATTTTCCTGTTTGTATGTTCAATGACAAGGAATTCATATATTCACACGTTCAACCAATTCTTCTGACATAATAGAGGCAGCACTTCGACAAATTGTCTCAGCTTTTCATTGTATGAGCACATCTTTATAACAGTTATCCCTTCCATATTAAATGCACAAAGAAGTGATAGATCAGTTTAAGTTATCTGCACAAGTTCTGAATTATGTTAAACTAGATAACTTCTTTGATATCGAAAACGAGCCTCGTAAAGCTTTTGAATCAGGTATTACAATGCTGCAAACATTGAGCTTTATGTGTGATATTTTAGTTTGATCATTAATAAATTTTTTAATGAATAACTTCTGCGCTGACCATATTTACCCTCAGGCGCCACAGTGACTCAGTAGTTATGGTGCAGGGCTGTTCACAGCAAAGCCCTGGGCTCGATCCCAGCGGAGGCAAAACGCTACAGGACTATCTAGTACATGGTGTCATTTAACGTTAAAAGTACTCAGGTGGTAGAAATCATACGCAATACTTTCTCACCTATGTGGAGCCGCTTTGGAACGTTAACAAGGTGGTGACCAGGCTAGTTGGCGAAGATCCACAGTAGCTTACGCTGCACTCTAAGACACGGGCAAAGAAGGGACGCATGAAGACAAGCGCATGACTCCCAGCTTCGTCCATGTCTCAGAATGCACTGTAAGCTAACATTTTGGGACGTTGAACCTTATTTACCAACCAGCCAGACAACTTATGTTTCTTCACCTGATGATTTGGCCTCGATGTTTTTTAACTGATTGAAAAACATTGGTAGGAGACAAAGCCGTCGAAGTTCACCCAAAAGAGCAAAGTGAAATTTTGGTTGGATAGAAACCGCATAATCAATCCCTGTAGGTTAGAACTGCAACGCCGGGCTTGGTGATTAATTAATAATCGGATTAACAGCCTCTCTTGCCTGAATGAGATCGCCTATAGTGACACTGTATGAACTACCACAGTCCACTAGTCCTAAATGTATCAACAGGGATAAGTAAATCACAGAATAATGAACTCCTGTAAATGTAATAATATCCCTTTTGTGGTACACTCATGTGATCCAAAATTTCACATCCTTTGAATATTGCGTACCTCAATATTTCTGCTAGTTTGTCAGCACCAAGAAATTATACTTTGTTTCAGGTGATAGGCGGCTGCTTATAATACACCTGAACTGACCTTGAAACCAGCTACAGACCAGCTGATTTCAAGGTTAGTTCGGGCTACGGGGCTGGCTATCTTGGCTACGTGCTACCAGGTTTCAAGTCTGGTGGTGGAAACTTCAGCTACAGACAGGCAGGTTTTAAGGCTGGCTCAGGCTTCCGCACTGGCCATCTTGGACACCGGCCGTCTGTGACAGGACCGCATGTGACTCGTCAACAAAGCCATGTGATAATTTAATCATGTAACGGCCCCTCGTGACGCCATGTGATAATTTATTCATGTAACGGCCCCTCGTGACACCATGTGATAATTTAATCATGTAACGGCCCCTCGTGACGCCAACGATGACCTTATGTCGCCTCCAAGTCATAAGACTGTACGGTGACTGCGTAAACACCTCACTGTAGAATCAAGGAAATTTTTTTTTGCTACTTTTAGCGTATTTCTGTGCACGACGATGACAGGGTTGTCGATAAGCTCTGTCGAGCTTCGCTTGCGTGTGGGAGGTGTCCTGGAACGTGCGGTTCGGCTGTGCGGATAGCACGAGTACAGGCCCTAAGATAAGGAACCACACTGGAGCAACACTTGAAGCAAATATTGTTGCGTCAACCTGACTAGATCCATCACTGCCACAATAGCCTAAAAAATACGTGAAAGCCAAGTTCTTCACACTCTTATGCTACAACCAGATCGTATGTGAGATGGAGAATAAGGTGCAGTTCCATTATCGAGGCTTGGTGCAAGATAAACCATTGCTTCAAACATGAAAGGCATGCAACCTAGTGCAGTAGGTGAGCAAGGATGCTCCGTCACTGATCGCGATGACCTTTGCGAGAGCCGTTGTCACTGTATCAAACTGTGGGTGGAGTCTTCTGACCAGAAAAACCATTCAAGGGCTCTACCTATGTTAAGCTGTCATGTGCCTATGGCAGTGCTAGACACAGTTGAATAGGTAACACAGAGTCAGTGCCAGTGGTCAGGGCGTAGTGAAACTGCCCTGATGCTGCTTTTTTTTCTGACACCATCAATTTTTCTTGCTCAGATGAAATCAAGTTCAATTTGATCTGTATAGGCCAGCGGTAACAAACGCCTGTAATAAAGACAGAACAGTCAGCGAAACCGTTGTTAAGATTCCATCTGTCCCACGTCATCGCGTTCACTTTGTTTTTTTTTTTTCGTGCTGCAGAACTAATGAACACACAAGAGAGTATTTTGTCAACACTAAAAGTTCCGCCGTAGTTTTGCGGCAATCATGACAGAAATTACTTGGCATTAGTGCGGCTCTCGTTTTCATCTGTCGCTGCTCTTCCAACCTTCCTCTCTTTATGAAAGTTATCTCACACTTGCATCCCGTGCGTACCACGTCCTACCTGTAACCATCCTTATATAAATTACGGAAGTGAAACTTGGACTTCTTAGAAAGGCCTAGTTTCACTTCTGGTTGCAACTTGTAGCCTCGAATCTACTTTCGTTTATAACCCCTTGTCTTAAGCTACTTTCATTTCCCACTTACGATAATAACAACCCCTTCTTGACACCTCAGGGGCCTGGGTGTCTCACTTGTCCTCTACTTCTCTCCCGATCGGAATTTTCCTTCCGGTCAGAATACGTGATGCACTGCAAGCAAATGCGCTTGATTATACTGTAAGTAGAGCACGCATAAAGGTTGCCTGTTGGGTCACAAGCCGTTCTGGCGTCCGCTTCAATTTACTTTTCTTTATGCCAAATCAAACGGAACGCATGCCGGGGACCGGAGCCACTTAAGGCTAGCACCTACGTAACCCACTCCGCTCGAAACAAATCTTCCAAGTTCTCATTAAGATAAGCATCAGCACGACACGTTCAAATTGTTCCAGGAAGGGCCAGCACCACTGAGACACATGTTGTAGGAGTGCTGTGTAATGATAGGAATCACTGCAGTCACGCCGGAGGCCCTGTCGTCGAGATGGGCCACGGCTCTGCGCGCTTCACACCTCGGCATCCAAATGTGGGCCGTCCGGCAAGCCCCCGAGGCAGCGTTTAGGCAAGGCCTGGACGTTCCCTAGCGGCTGACCTAGGCCCGGGTGGCGCTTAACCTCGCCGTACTTTCACTAACATCGTATCCGCCTATCCATTCAAGCACTTCCATTGCAAACTACAAAAAAAAAAATGTCCCGCGTGTTTTCCTTGTATTCACTATCTGTTTGTTTCAACGAGGCTGTGTGAATCAAAGAAACGAGCAGCTCGATTCATTCATCTTTTTTTTTTGTTGTCCATGACGGCAGCCTGGGAGGCATCAAGATGCCTTTGTTTGCTAAGGTGAAAAATGATGTGCCACCTTTTTTGACGATTCTGATTGGCTTTAAGGGAAAAAATCCCTTTGTACACCAAGAGCACTTCAGTGCTCTCGGTGTACGATGCACTGGGCGTTTTGGGCATCACCACCCAAAAGTTCAACAGCTATTCATGCGTCAAGCTTAGGAGTTGTCCCTGAGTCTGAAAAAACCGCACGTGTAGATGAGGGTATTTAGCCATTCAGACATCCTTAACAGATCCATTAACGAGCGTCTGGCTGCCTATATTGCCAACAAGCGCTAATACGCTCCTTATAGTAAGCAACGTAGGCATATTGAGGCCCTCCTGCCAGCACAGACGAAAGGACAGTAAGTGCCAGCAAACACATATCTTCAAACCACCAGTGTGACTGTAATGAGACTGCTCCAAACCTTTGCGCACTTCGACACCAGACTCGTTGGTGAGCTCAATACGTATAAGCTCATTAGTTAGCTCTCAGGAATAGCTGTGTGTACAAGATGTATTGAAGGTTTGCTTCCTGTACGGATGCACAATAGCCTTTCGTTGATCTCGACAAACAGTGCAGTAGGATGGGTGAAGAAGAAAATAGGCATAGCGGAGTGCACTGCGAACTTGCGCTGAAGCATGAAGCACTCCCTTTCCCTCCTTCCACTGCTACAGAGGGAAAGGGATAAATAAGAAAGAAGGCGTAAAGATAGAGGGTCTATGAAGCCCCCTTATTTTAGGCCTCAACGTTGCAAATGTTGGCAGATCCAATTCTTTTCTGGCATAAAAAATTTGTTAGACTCGCAGCATGCTACTAAAGCATACCTTCCTCGTTGAAATGGCCACATTTCGATAACAGCAATGATGGATGTTTTTTGTGCACGTTTTCTGAATGCACGGTTGATTAAGCCTTCCGACGACCCGCTCCTCGTCTGCTTGGAATATACAAACGAGCTGCGTAATCCGCATTGTGGCAAAAGAACCCGATGTGCTATAGTTACCGCAACATCTTCAAAATCAGTGACACGCGTCTCTACATTTTCTCCACGAGTAAACCGACACTCTTCACTGAACGGCTGACCTCAATGCTTATAATCGATGACCTTGCTTTACACCGTACGTTGCGAACCAGTGGGAAGGATC